GTCAACGTTACTGTGCTGTATGGGTAAATAGCACATTTATAAGGTTTCAACTGCCGAGATCCTAAGTGGTACCTATTGATACTTAAAGGATTAACATAGTGTATATGTCAATAGGGACCACTTAGGATTGGGCAGTTAAAACCTTATAAATGTGCAATTTAGAATGTTTTTTACAATATTTCATTAAAAAAAAAGTTACTAGAATGTTCCATGAATTATGCGCTTTAAAGCTTTAAAATATAATGATTTTGTTTATGTTGACAGGAGATTGGCAGTTGTCAACTGCCAAATTCTGATTTTTATATGAGATTCGTAATCAGCGATGCTGAGAATCTTAGTACACTGTACTGTGCTGCGAGAAGATGGAAAGTTTTCCAATTGGAAAAGTAGCTCGTAAAACTTAATATTTCTTTATAAATTCTTATCAATATTTAGAAGAATTTTTTTTTAAATTGGGCTCAACAGTTTTTTTCTACATTGATTAACGTTTAATTAAAAAAAAAAAATTATTCCGGTAGTTATAAAATTGTGGTCTGTAGCGATTTTTGAACAGTAAATTCCTATTTGTCCCCACTGTACGCCCGCCCGGACGGGCTCGCAGTGTGTGCGTGTGTTTCTGTTACATTTGGATTTAACAATCATCCATGCAACCTTGCGACATTATAATACTGCAGTGTATGTGTGCTAGGGGCTGACACCTTCCTAGCCTACAATTCGATTTTTTTGTATATATGGTGTTCAAAAATTACGTTTATTTTATGCAACTTCTTTTGTTAATAACTTTTTAACGAACAACGAGCGACGGCTAAAATCTTTTGAATATTACTCAGGATGATGACTTTGACAACATATGTGAAGATCATCGTCCTCGGAAGGTGGTCCGTTTTTGTCAATATTTACCCATGTATTGTATATAATAACGTTTTTATGTTTATTGTTTTTCAATTATACATATTTTAATAAAAATATATATTTTTTCATATTCCAAATATTTATGTGATTTCTATTTGATGTTCTATCTTGTCCACATCTTTCAGGTAAATTGAAAAATAACGCCATTTTTTGCATCTATTCATTAAAAAAAAATTAAAAATTCATATTTTTTTGTGAACTTCTCAACGAACTCAACCTAAAAACTTATGTAATAACTTAAAAAAATATTATTTTAACATTTTTTTTGACGAAGTGTTTTTTTCGAAGTTTTTTTTTTCATTTTGCCCTCATCTTTCGTCTATGTAAAAGAGTCACCATTTACCAACTATTTATACAAATTATAAAATTGAAATATTAATCGATTTCTAACGTTCGAAATGTTCCGGCAACTCCAAATAAGTCATCCGGATCTATTACAGAATTAGTTCGGAGAGATTCGTTGGTCTTAAGTTTTTCCTGCTCCAGTAACCAGTTCCTTCGTTCCATTAATTTCTCATACCACATATCTGGAATAGAATGTCGTTACAATAAAACTATAAAATTTTAAATCATTTTACTACAATAATGAACATTTAGATTATCAAGTTTAGATATTAACGAATTTGTATGTCACAAAAAAGTGACTATTATTGTCGACGCATCCCACACAACACGCATATCTGAAAGACGTCTTACTTCAAATGTTTTTAAGAAGTTACCAAAAGATGTTTCAAAAACGTTTGAAAAAAGACATCTTTAAAATATTCCCAAAGGATCTCTTAAAGATGTTTTAAATATTTTGTTAAATTTTTAAGTGTATGGCTATCTATATTACCGATTATGAAATTCATACACATTATTACTATAGCAAATATCATAACAACTTCTTAGTCCTTGCGAGCGTCGTATACGGGAATGTCAAAAGTTTAGAGAAGTTATTAAATTGTAAATTTTTATAATTTGATTAGTTTATTTTTAAGTTGCAGTGTCGAGTGCAATTGTCTTTTCATTTGTATAGATCGTTTTTGAGAATAATAGACTGCGGATTTACTCATTTATCCTGTTCAAGATTAGATGTCGATGACAGCTAGCCAATGTTGATGGCATTGTATGACTTAAATTTTAAATCATTGGTACTTATTATTCCGCCCAAATTATCACGAGTCCGAACGAGTGCATATGGTGAACCATGTTTTTCATGATCAAAAAGAACTTATAGAATTTATACAATATCTGGTTTTAAAGATTAAAAGTGTTTATGCGTTTACCGCACTTGAAGTCATATAAAATTCTAAACTAACATAGCCCAACGCAAATCCAAATGGCTCGTATAATCTAACCGACCGTCAAAACAAAACTCAATATGTGACTTATAAGTGAACCCTATGCGCTAGCAAATATCACAATAGTAAAAGTCCATATCTTTATAGATCTAACAAACAAATTAACCGCGCTCATGTCTATATATACCAAAGACACATAGTTGCAGCACGGCTTAAAACTCATTTCTTTACTCTCGAACCGTAAGCCAAAGGACATATGACTACTCCCCACCACCTATTGCATCTAATAAGTAAAAACCTCGTGCTGCTCACACTAAACTTTGCTTTTTCAGCCTAATTGTCGAGGTTGTAAACTAATTGCCAAATCGTCATTGGCTAATCCGTTAACTTCGGAAAGTTTTCTTCTGCCTTGGAAGAATCAGTCCCGATCCATTCTTAGTCTTACTCTATATGCCGCGCTAACCACTAACTCTGATCCCATACTCTGACGCCAAACTTTTATTCTGACGTTTCAAGTATTCTTTATTTCTTAATTTCGGTACGATCGATCGATCTACATTTTACTTTTCACGTTTTGTATTCAAAAGAAGTAACTCGAGCAACGATAAATTCAATGCGTGCCAACCCGGTCGCGAATCATAGCAGAATCAAGCCGTCCACGTTCATTCACTCTGAAGGTTCCCTGCAAGATACCAGAGATCATCGCGAACCTAGATCAAAGAAAGTATATATTCTCAACCCACGGTGAAAATAAGTTTTACCTTCTATTCTCGTTATCCATATTCTTTGCTCCTTTCGTTGCAATAATTCCGGTGAGACTGATACTCGTCTCTTCCCTCAGGATCGATAATTCTCCCGACTTCCTTAAGCATATCTTACTTCCTTTACCCGTGCTAGATTCATCGTCTAGCTCTACCTCTCCATTACCCCTTATCCCTCCTTAGATAATATACTTCGATCAGTCCCTGCACGCATACACATACATACATACTCATACACCTACACATCCGTAACCCACAATTTTTGCTATTGTAACCTTCGAATTGTAACACAAGTAAATTAGTCATTGTCTATTAATTAATCTAACTCTGAATTTCATTTTCCCCAACCTCTTTCTCTCCGATTATTCGCTTTAAGTCCTATCCCTGGTAAAGGAACTCGCGTCTCTGACCTAAAAAGAACCATTTGCCGTACGTCGTTGCGCGCATATCTTCTAGCCGCTGATCTACTTCTCAACCTGCGTGTATGGTTAAGGCTTATTATAAGCGATTTATTTGGTTGCGTTCTCCTCCAGGACGTAATATTATATAGTACCAAATATCGCTATTCAATAATATATGTTTTAAAGTTTAAAGTATACGATATGCCTAATATTATCATTATCTGCTAACTGTTGATATTTAACTAACTCAGAATCCTAACTCTGAATAGGATAGATGAGTAAATCTTTGCACTTTAATTATAATTCTCAATCGACTGAAAGAAATATATGATAATAAATAAAACTTCTTTTTTGTTTTAATATATATTAATTAACTAAATTATAGAAATTTATAGTAATATATGTATATACAGGGTGAGTCATCTGAATCTATCACCTCCAATAACTCGTTTGTGTGGCCAGGAATCGAAAAAAGTTTCATATAAAAGTTGTAGGGTTTCGAGGGGGAACCAAAATGGCGTACCTTTCAACTTTTGATTTTGACCGAAAGTGGGTTACTTCAACCGGAAGTGGTTTTTTT